CTAACTTCTTTAATTCTATAAAGGGATGTATTGCAAACGTAGAAATCATTTCTTGGAAGAAATGTAGCCCTGAAAAGGGCTGGTTTTACTAAGAGGAGATCTTTATTCGACGGTACGCAGATAGTTCTCGATGCATCGGGCTACAGTTTCATATCCGGCTTTGGCTAAATGTAGCCCGTCGCGGAAGAAAGGTTCTCCTCTGTTGTTTGCCGAACAAACTCTGCCTCTCTCTAAAAATGGGCTATTGGCGCCAATATAGCCCATTTTTAATTCTTTCGTGAGTTTCCTCATCCGCTTGTTCACTTGGATGACTTTGGATGAGGTTTTATCATCATCCCTCTGTCGTGGCAATATTGCTATGAACGCAAGCGTTTGTGGACGTTGCATTGCTATAGCTCCGAGAGTGCGCTGTATGTTGTTGACGATCTGCTCGGGTGTGTGTCTCTCAATCTCGTTTGTGCCGACGAGCAGGATAACATGCCTAAAACATGCGACGTCGTGGGTAGTCCTCTGTAGAATTGTTGTTGATCTCGCTCCTGGATGGAAATCCACGACAGTACGAATTCTATTTCTCCTGTTTAGGTAGCCGTGCAAATCTCTACCCAAACTGTCGGTCAAAATCAGGACATCGGCCATGGTCGGATATATCAGATATAACTTTCTTACAGCAATGAACTAAACTGATATAAAATAACCGGAATTTATACCCAAAGCCGCATGTCAGCAAACCAATCAATGCCCAGAATGGAAGTCACCTGACATGGTAAAAATTCAACTGTCACCAATTCTAAAATCAGAGCACGCGCATTTGTTTTGTTAGCGATTTGAATACGATGCGGTGCACCGAAAAGTTAGCTGCATCGATAATAACATCGAGAAACAGGAAAAAAACCAATACGAACTCTACCAGTACCATATTATATACGTGCGTGCCGTCTCTTCAAATAACCGATTTACTATATATATTAAACGCGCGGGCCCGACTCTAATTCGAAAATATAAAATTTATTCCCAACGCCGAATGTCCAACAACCAATTAAATGCGCCGAAACCATGTAACAATTACAAACTGGCTTCCTTGCCAAAATATACAAGCTACGACGCGCGAGTACTGGTGTGTGTAGTTTGCCGAGCAAAAATGGCTTCTTTACAAGGGGAAATGATTCTTGTCAAAGTTTGCGAGTTACCGCGTGTATGCGATACTGTTA